TATATATGTTTAGAAATTAGAAATCTCAAGTTTCACAAAAAAAATTTTTCTTTCTTACTTCTCTTCATCGTCGACTTCGACACCGCCATCATCGTCGCCGTCGTCGTCGTCGTCTTCATTGTCTTCGTTTTGCTTTTATAAAAATAAAAAATAGTTATGCGAATTTAAGAAGTTTTATATTACTTACTGCATTTTACAGATTTTGCTGAAATTTCCTTTTTGTTTTTTACATCTTTTATTCCGATAATTTGATTTTCTTTACCTTATGCGATTATCACATTCTATAAAGTAATTTTTAAAAAATATTGGAATAAGAAAAGAAATAAAAACTGAAAATACCTGTATTTTGTAGTTCTTCATATTTTAATATTTTAATATATATACTTTTTTAAAAAATGAGTCTTAAAATGAGACCAATAAAAGGCGTTTTTTTTATCGCTTCTGTCTTCATATATTTGTTGTCTTCAATAATCTGTTGGAAGTAGTAAATGTCTACTTTCTAACTTTCCTACTGTTCATGTCCGAGATTAAGGATAAACGAGAGATATACAAATATGTAGGTAAAATTATTTTGGCGATGTTCAACTAAATTGGAAAACTATAGATTTATTAATAGTTATAGACAAAAGCTCTCAGTTTGGCTGATGCTTGAAACTGCTTAACAGATGACAGTTTGTTTTGTTCTTGCTACGGTTTTTTATCGTATATTTGCATAAAAATCAGTTAGACTGTTTGTTGTATTTTTTTTTTGGATGTTTTTATTAAACTTTCGTTTTACTATAAACTGCGTTATTGGAACCTGAACAGCTGTTCGCATTCTATAGCGTTAAAAAAGAATTCAAACTTTGGGGAAAATGTTAGCCTACGTTTATATGAATTTATTGACCAAACTGGCAAGCTGTGATTAAATTTCACAGTCTTATGGCTTATAAAACTGTCTCCCTCTCCCCCCCCCCCTTATGCAAAAAAAAATATATATGCATGTATAATATTGTACAATAGGAATCTGAAAATGTTTCAGTTGCATAGATTGGATGTCTATGCGACTGTCAAAAGTAGTTTTATCAACTACTGTCATTACTGCAAAGGTTTTTTTTTTTTAGTTTATCAACCTGCCTGAAAGTGTAGCAAATGAACAAAAAAGAAATAGAGCTTTCCAGCTGTGTAAAAATGTTGAAATAAATCATAAATATAGAAAATATTGCTAGCTATTCAGAAAAAAATTTTAGAAATAAGATAAAAATCATATGAATATATGTGAGTAATTTTACAAAATATTAGTTTTCGCTTGACTGACTTGAAAAGTATTCCAAATAACTTTTTTTTTTTGTATTTTGTGCGTAATTTTAGTTAATAAAATTCAAAAAAATCTTTCCTGAAGAATAAGTTTTTGTTATTTTGAATTGAAGAGAAACATTGACAGAGGTTTATCTGCTGCAGTATAACTTTCTTTTGACAAAAAATTAGAGGCTTTAATTACTTTTAGTCATTTAGTGTAGTTTCAAATTGTTATAACACTCATATTGTTCATTGTGTCACCGTCTCGCACAATTTCTTAGCAGTTGAAGGTAGACAAAAATTTGTTTTCTTCTGTACTAGTTTAATTTATAGACTTAAATTTTATAGATATTATGGCAGCAATGACTGCAATAATCAAGGTAGATCGAAAGCCTCTAAACAAGCAGAATCTTTAGTCTACATTAACCGCTTAGAATGTTGCCCAAAAGTTGAATTGTTAGTTAGATGTCTCGGTAACTCTACGGCAGTAATGCTATGATTATTATTGACTGCTTGTACTTCTTTATACAAGACAAATTTAAATAAGAAAATATGACGTCAATACTACTGTCAGATTATTGGATTATAGAAGCGCAAAAGGCAATTCAAGTAGTATCAACTCTGTAGGATGGTGTTTCCAGATTTGTATTACTAAACAGAATGCTTTTTGCGCTCAAATTTCACTGTATTTTTGTACATCAAATAAATATGGTTTTAATAAGTGCTAGTAATTTCACATCGTTTTCAGTATTCAGCAATCAAACATTTTAAGAGTGTCGACTTTTGTATTGAGAAAAGTCTTTACTATGTTGTAGTCTTTACTATTTTCAAACCAGATTTTTAAATTTTGTAAGTCAAACTACATGATCTAAACAACAGGTGAATTGAGAGCTGAAGAAAAAAAATTAGCAATCTGCAGTAATTTTTTTACCTTAAAATATCTGTTTTAAAAACATCACTTTCAGTTTGGAGCTGTTTTATTATATTTGAAAAGCAGTTATTGTATATAAATTAAAACACTTTTTTGCCTTATTTTTTTTTT